CAAGAAAGGAAACACAATTTATTAGATTTAAACTTCAAAATTTAAATTGTTCAATAAACTGCCCTTAGGCGTTACAAGAATGGAAATACTGAAAAGTAAATAAAAACTGTAAAAGAAATCATCAAAGGTCCATCAATGCTCCCATGGTCTCTTCTTCTCAGTGCGGACATAATCATTCAGAATCCGCTCATTCTCCAATTGTCTAGTCAGCTTCTGGATCTTCTGCTCTTGTTCATTGAACTTCTCTCGGTAGGAATCCCGTTCCTCCCTTAATTGCATCCAAGACCTCTTCAGTGCCCCAATATCAGTGGGCATATAAGGATGGAGAATGGTTGGAAGAACCCCTTCTTCATTAGCAACTTCAAGAGTGACAGGACGGACAACTTCATATGGCATACCTAGCTTCTGGGCACGGATGCGGACCCATCTGAGATATGGCTCCATTGGCAGAGAAGTCTTTGGACCCAACTCATGTGGATCAGATTGGTGAACTCTGTCCCAAGCCCTTATGAATCTACGACGCAACTCGTCGCTATCTCCCTGAAAATCAAAGATGATATGAGGCATTAACATCTCATGAGGCCCTTCTCTTCTAGCTCTTCCAAACTGACGGAGAGCTAAGCATGGTTGTAAGAAATCCCTCCATGGGTTCCGATCAATGGAACATTAGGATACTTTCCATAACGATCAATGACAGTCACCTCATCCGTACCTTTGAGAGTCCAGATAATGTCATTATTAGAAAGAGAAATAACTCTATAAGCCCAGCCCATTCCTTCTTTGTTCTTCAGCATGGACTTAGGGAGGTGCGAAATAAACCACCTCGACAATAAAGGAGCACAACACATCAAAGTTCCCCGCTTTCGGGCAGTACGAGCATAGAGCTGATGAAGGATGTCACCCAAGAGAGTGGGTACAGGATTCTGAGAGATGAAGATCTTTATGGCATTGATATCAACAAAAGTGTCAGGATTCGGAAACAATACCAGACCATAAATCAGAAGAGCCAAAATGTCCTCAAAGGCCTTAAAGTCCAGGCTATCCCAGAAGTAGTTAGCCTTGCTCACCAAGAACTTAGTCAGAAAACCCTTAGCTCCACTTCTAGTCTCCCAGTTAGCCATTACCTCTTCTTTGGTCAAGTGAAGGGCTGCAGCAATCTCTTCGGGCCTAAGAGTCTTTTCCCACCCAGTGAACGGGGTCTGCTCCAAAACAGAGATACCAAGCAACTCAAAGAACTCTTCTAGGGTAGGAACCAGCTGATAGTCTTGAAAAGTGAAGCAATGGTACAGCGGATCATAAAACTGGACCAGGACACTCATCATTTGTTCGTCCAATTTGGAGGTGACCAAACTGAGAAGAGAACCATGCCTCCTGATGAAGGAAGTAGTGTCTGGCATCCTCACAACCAACTCTTTAAGCAAGGTAGGGACTTGGACAAAGTTGATTCGGATAGTATTCTTACGCATGGGCATCATGATGACCTACAAAACAGAGCAAAGATAAAAACCTCTTGTCCTTGAAATAGGTTAGTCCTTATGCAAGATGCATGTAATGTTATGATGTCATGATGTCATGATAAAGGCACACCACAAGTATCCACAAAAAGAAAATATGGTAAAGGCACACAAGTCACACTGAGAGCCTTTAGATTTCAGGCTGGCATGGAGCTTAGGTACTACCCTATTTCAGTTCAGTTGGTTTAAACCTGTCCTAAAAATAATAATCGGGTTCTAGAGGATCTCAATATCACTGGCTACCCTCAATCGGTCATAATTCTAGTTTAGCAACCTTTTCTTGCGGCCGGAATCATCGCGAGAGTTTAGTCACAATGAGTGTAGCATACTGCTACTGTTCTATGTCCAAGTTGGTCAATTTAAGGTTCTAAGGTCAGTTGGTGCCTAATGACTCCTTAGAAGACCCATATTCTCCTCGTTCCAACATAAGGGATATCGGTACAGACTAAGGTGCCACACCAACGTAGCTACTGCTTCATCCGTATCGGTCTACGCCGTACAGATCCCTCACAGTTTATTGCTACTTACCTAAAGGGTATCCCCAGATCCGGGTTAGGATCTATAGAACTCCGATACAAGCCCACAAAATTAAAGCATACAAAGCGTACAATTGAAAACATAGTGATCTAATCCTAAGGTACACCTCACTTATATCTTTTCCCCAGCAGAGTCGCCAGTTCTGTGATCGGTGGGAATGAGAACTGACTGTTTTTAGAATGCTGGTTCGCGTTTGCGTTTGTTTTCGCAAAATGTCGCGGTAAGCAAGAGTCGCCACCGTCTTTTATTTTATCCAACAAGGAAAGGACAAAAGCACAGAAAAATTCCTTTTTGAGATATTTCTCGGGTTCGGGAGGTAGATTATAGAAAGGGAAGGTGTTAGCACCCTTTCTATTCGTGGTTATCCACGGGCTCTTAGGTACTTGCTCATTGTGTTTTCAAAAGTTTGCTTTTCTTTGTGTTTGTGGGTTTGAAAAGAGTTTTTGTTTTGAAGAGAGTGTAAGTGCGAAAAGTTTTGTTTTGTTTTAAAATGAGCAAGTACTTAAGAACCATCTACCTACTCAAAAAGGAATTAATCTGTACAAGTGTCCTTTAGACAGTGCTAGCCCACTATTGAGATGTAGGTAGCACCGTCGTTAGAGTTTTAAGGGTCAATTTGATTAAGGGACGTGTGGTCACTAAAGCAACGTTAAGACGCCTTAGTGGTAACCCTAATGTCTTAGATCATTTTTTCCGAGGCAACCGTTTCGAGGCAACTATGATCTTTGGACAAGAGGACGACCTCTAAAACTTCCTATACTCAATGACCACGTTCGAGGCAACCAAGTGAGGTGTACCCTAAGAGTGCGCATGTGCGAGTGTGTTATTTTTCAGTTATATCATCTTTGTACATGTTATGGTGAGCTATGTTGATTTTAGTTTAAAGATTGATCTTGTCATGCATTGCCTAGTTATCAAACATCTAACAGTTAATATTGAGCGGAAATTAAATTGCGGGAAATTAATCTAAGCTATTACAAGGCATCGGATAAAAACTATTACATTCCCGAAGCGATAAATTAAATTAATCTGATCGATCCCGTAAGTAAACCAAAAAGAACTTTCCTTTTTGGAGGATCAGCGGTTGTTTACCAAAAACTACGGTAAACAACTAGCATCTTTCGGTCTTTACTTTTTTCTCAGAATGCAGCGTCCTGGCATTCTTTGAAGTCTAGTCGTTACTAAAACCTTTTGGCCGTTACTTTTCTTCCTCAGAATGTAGCATTTTGGCATTCTGTGAAGTCGAGTCGTCACTCATATATGTTTTCTCAGAATACAGCTTTCTGGCATTCTGTGAAGTCTAGTCATTACTAGCGTTTTTGGATCAAGTTCCACGGTCTTTGATCCTTATCTCCCATCATAAACTTGTTCTTTATTTCAGTGCCAAGAGACCATCAAAATTATACCCTATGTTGATATACGTCGTCTCAATTCAGAGTGCAAATTTTTTAGTTCATTTTTGTATTCAATCTCCTTCTACCTTATCGCTCGAAAGGTTGTTGTTGTCAATCTCGCTTTAGGTTGAAGAAGCTTGAATAGGGGCAGCTGTTGTACCCCAAAATTTTACATCCTATATTGCTTTTATATGGCTTAGGTTTTTGCATTCATCTACATACTTTCCATTAGGTCATTAACATAACATTTAATTCAAAAAAGTACCACGAGTTTAAAGGATCGATGATCTAGCAATATCATGGTTTCACAGTGTTGAGGTGTATATATCCAATAAAGGCTGATTCCTTCTTCAGGAAATGAACAGTGGAATTAAGGTTGTGGTCTGTGGTCATTAAGAATTTCTTCTTCGTCAAGCTATAAGACCATTCTCCACCTAGTTTCATCAGTTCCAAAGATTAGGATTTATTTTCCTGTGTATCTCATGAAATTTGGATTTTATCACATGGATGTCTTTCTACGCTTTCAGTTTCAGTCAAAGGATTTCCTCGAGAGGCATAAATTTTATGGTGAGGTTGTTGGTTTTCAAGTTAATATAGCTTGTGGTTTGAATTGCTAAAAGGGTATGTCATAGTACAAGACATGACTTATGTATTCATCGTCATTATGTACTTTTTGCTCATTATACAAGTTTGGTTTAGATTGGGAGTGATATGGATTCACGCCATGAATTCGAAATGATTTACATGTAGTCAAATTAATCAAAACCGCTTAAGGCTTGCAAGATCAAAGAGTCTAACCTCCAGCATCATTCATCGTGTTTCAACTTTATTTCAAGACTAAATGAATCAATTTGAAATTATAGTTGTTCAAGCATTCAATAGCATGAAGTCATTCAAAATACGTTCAAAATTCAGACAAGTTCACAAGTCCATTCATTCATTTAAAGATTCCATCCATGGACTCAAATCCATTCAAAATGTGTAAGTTTTATTCTAATTTTAAATCAAGACATTTTGTGATCAATTTTCGTTACAAGTCATATTCAATCCAAAGAAAGAAGACAAAGGTCATATCTATTTACACTTGCAACCATGAAAGTCATATTACATTTCAAAGAAAAACTACATAAATGAAAACCTAATACTAAGCTCCATTGATCCCCTTCGTGAACCATGCCTATGGCAACTCACGTCAAATTAATCTTCCAACACACTTCAAGGTCCTTTCCATTTTCTTTCTTCATGGCCAAAGATCTTGAACACAAAAAACGTGCATAATTATCAAGCTCACATCACTACAGTGCTAAAATAGACTCGCATCAGTACCATACCAGCTTCCACACGGGCATGAGCTTAACATTAACATAACTGCTACCATTGTGAAGCTGATGAAAATTTCACAAAACAAGATCAACCAGTCCCTGCATATGGAATCAGAAATACATCCAGGATTTAGAAAAATGCAGAAAATATAAAATCAATAATTTTGCAACCAAAGTCGGGAAACTCAGTATTGTTGTCCAGCTCACTCATTCAAGTACATAACAAAAATGGTTTAGAAAAGAAATTTAAAAAGAGTTCCAAAGAAGGACGAATCAGAGATGATGTAACCGATGTTTCTTCGCATCGAGGAAGATGAGAGCTGAGTCAAGGCGTTGGAATTTCGGAGATGAACGGTGGAGGAATCGTCGGAGTATGATGAAGATTGTAAGCAAGCTGCCGTGAGAAGGTTGAAAGAAGGATCGTGAAGACCGATCGTCACAACTACTCCAAACCCTATTCCTTTTTCAATTTCATTATTTTCAGTTTTTTTCTTGTTTTCTTATTTTGGTTCCATTTAAATAAATAAATTGAATAAAAGAATATGGAAATAAATAAAAAACGGATAGGCTTGTGCTATTGGTATTGGACCAGACAGCACCTTCCCCTTGGGCCCATAGGTTTTTTTTTTTGCATTAACTGATTCCCCTTGAAAAACAAGTCTTGTGGATTCAAGCTGATTGGGTCTATTGCTTCTGCACACCACCCAGATTCAACATACACCCCCCTTGAGTTTAATTTTCTTTTTAGATTTCCCTAACATTTTCCTTATTTTTTGTTATATATTATTGATAAAAAATTACAGAACCAATAAGACTTGTTAGTTTTTTTAGTGATTAGGAACTAATTCTCTAGTTTTTTATAGGTTTTTTCAATGATAAAAACAATAAAGAATAGTGGAATATAATAGAAGTTTTTCTAAAATTTCTTTTGTAGAAGTTTGTTTATAATTTTCTATTATCCATTGTGTTAGTAATCATTTTATTATTCGACACTTGTGAATTACCTTTGCTTGTTGAGATTTGAGTCGTATGCAAGTTTATTATGTGATATTCGGATATGTCTGGCGCATCTTCCGCTTGTGATTTATTTTCACATTGATGAGGCTTCGAATCTTATTCCTAACATTTGATTTCTGACTTTTCTCTATTGATTGGTGAAGCTTACTCAAAGTTTTCCAGGTTTCTCTACTTTGCTTGTTGTGCTACGAACTATTGTCTGTTTGGTATCATTCTGATTTTGGTTTACTGTTTCAGCACTTTACCACTTTCTAGATATCATGAGAAGTAAGAAATAAAGAGCGTGCACTCGAAGTCGCTATTTGAAGTTCTGTAGCAGGCACCGCTTTCTGTGTGTTATCTGTGTTTGTTTAAAATCCTACCTTTAAAGTAAGTATTTCACACGTGCGTTTACATTTGTGCTTGCATCTATTCCCCCGTCCCTTATTGAAGTCCTCAAAAGGAGGTGAGCAGAAAGGATTTGCAATAAACCCTCGCATTTCGTCTGTGTCATCCTTAGCTCGTGACGCACCACGATGCTTTGGAGTTATGCCTACTCTTGTTATTGAGTCGTCAAGTGGAAAAGGGTTTCGCAATCAAACCCCCACATTTTGTCTTGAGCTCACGTTGGACGAAGTTGACGCTCTTTGTTTTTTCTATCCCCTCCTCGCTTATTTTCCTCGGTTGATATGACCCCTTGGCTAAAGCTTCCCATATCCCCTTCTCGCTTGTTTGCCTCGATTGATATGACCTGTTGGCTAAAGCATCCCTACTGTATTTTGTACCTATCTCAATTATTTATATCTTGGTTAGGCCTTTACCCGATTTAGTGTGCACTACTCGTGGCATGTGTGCGCTCTTTTGAGCTTGCTTGTTTTTTCATCCTTGTACATACCATGTTCCCTTAGAATAGGAATTTGTATGCTTCCCTTAGGATAGGTATCCATGCATGCTAACACAGGTTAGAGATTTCCCTTTCAAAACTTAATCTTAGGATCAATAATTGTATGATAACATTAGGAATAGAACTATATAGTCTCTCTTAGATGTTTTTATTTCTTTTGCATCCTTGCATTAAGACTAAAACCATTTTCTTGGAAAATGCATAAAACATCTAACAACTTTCAAATCCTTCTTTAAGGTAAAAAAGATCAACCAATGCAAACTTTTTTCTCCTTCAGGCCTTTCTTCGGAACCTTCAAAAGGATGTATTAATTCTACTCTATGCAACACGACACGTAAATCCCCAAAGGTCGGGTGGCACTTTGTCTAAATTGCTAGAGCATGAATGTAGCATTATCTGCCTTTGGGCATTTTTCTTTGCAAATACCTTGTTGGGTATAACATGTTAATTCAATTGTGTGCTGACGCGTGAGTCTTCAAAGGTCGAGCTGTGGCAGAAGGCAAAATTAATATTTTTCATTAAAAAACACAAAACAAATCAAAACATGTGAGTTAAACTATGCTAACTCTGATTCCTCAAAAAGGATACGTAGGCATTGGAGTAGGGCTCAAGCGAGCACAACTTTATTTTCCCTACATTATTTTCTATTTTATTTTGCATGGATTCCATCTTTGCATTTTCTTTTAGTTCTTAAGCTTAGATTTAAAACACACTGTTGTACCTCAAAATTTTCCCTCCCATTTTCTTCAAGGCATTCTTTTAAGGGTTCTCAAATACTCAAGAACCTCAAGGGTTAACCAGTCAAAATGCTCCTCCTAAGCAATGGGTCTACAACTAGGGTTTTTATTTCCTCAAGAAAGTTTAGGTTGCAAAAATATCAAATGGTTTTCATGGTTCATCATAGGTCTTCAACAATGTTCATGTCAAGTTTCAAGTCTTGCATCACAAGTTTGCTCAATCAACGACTCAGATGATTAAAAATCAACTGTATTGGATAAAAGTCAACTATGGTCAACATACACTTAAAATTCAAGATTTTTAGTCAACATCAACATTTTGAAGTGATATTCATCATTTGATCAATGGTTAATCATGATTCCTCAAAGAAAGCTCTCAAATCATCAAAGGTCAAGAATTATCAAATTAGGGTTTCCTTAGGAGAAGTCAACCGAACTTTGACCAAGCATAACTTTCACATGCTTCATCAACTTTTCTCCAAACAAAGCCCAATTTAAAGGAAATTCAATTTTCTATAACTTTGTATTTATTATCAAGCCCAAAAAATGCTTCATTTGAATCATATGAGCCAATAAATTGCAGTTATTTCAAAAGTCGACAAAAAGACACTTTTTGTCAAGGCAACTTACATCAAGATAAAGTCTCCAAATGCAAATATGATCAAAAGAGAAATTGTAGAGGACATCTTGAGATTTCCAAAAAGTCTAAGACCACATTCAAACCCTGAAAATTGAGAAAGATATGAGTTTCTCAAGTTGGGAAATTTTGAGGAAATGCATAAAATGCAAAGTGAGCAAACTTGGAATTTTGAACTAGTCGGCCTAATTTTTTATGTTCAAACATGTTCATAAGGTGTTATAGGACCTCTAAATCTATTCACATATTTTTTATGATTTTTATTTCTTTTATGTGAATTTCTATTCATTTAAATACAAATAAAATCAAATAAATGTGAGATAAGAGTATAAAAGCTTAGACTTTTGTTTCAATCAGCTAAAGGCCCAATACAACTCATGCTAGCCTATCAGAAAACATTCCAAAACCGTGCAAGCTTAAAAATGGCAAGGAAAATCCAAGCAGATGCAAAGGACACGAATAAACTGGCCAAAGAGCCACTTAAAAAACTACAAAATTTCAAAGAAATTGCAAAATTCATAGCCCAACTTCCAGTCGTTCTCACGTGAAACTAAGGCCAGCATTCACTTCCTAAGGATCAAAGGAGTTGATCAAAGTCTATAACTGCCTCTCTCAAGCACCAGAACACGGCCTCTCCATCATGCCAGTTGTCAAAGTTGGTAAAATTCAAAACTGTGATTTCTTGTATTTTCAGTCATTGCTAATCTATTTGATCTTCTCAAGTGCATCATTAGAACAGGGTTGATGTGTTACCTGTGAAGTTTGACGCTGAAATCATGTTCCACCATTATTAGGGATCAAAAGCCATTGAGCATCGAACCGAACGATGCAAGCATTCTCAATTCCCATTAACCATGCCATTGAGATCGCAGTATGTTAATTAGTGGATCTAATTCTTTGGATATGTCATTTTAACGCATTTTTGATGGTTTGAGGAAAAAGACAGGCCAGAGAAGACAACCGGAGCTAGGGCTCCGGCGCTTCTCCGGTCAACAGTATCAAGATTTATTATTTCTTTTTATTGTTTGATTCATAATACCGGATGTACTGTCTGCCCCAGCGGCAAGCGCGCGTGTCTTAAGGTGTTTGTGTGCCATGGCAGGGGTTCGATCCCTGTCTCTGGCATATTATTTTTTAAATATTTTCCTTGCAGATCCAATACTATGCAGGTCCAACGCGCGTACGATTTACTTCATATCCTGCCCATCAAATCTCATCAATTTAGATCCAATGCCTCAAATGCATACCCTCACCATGAACCTTTGTGGATCATCCTCACCAGATCCAACACAACAATCTGAGTTCATTGATTGGGCCTAGGGATTTCTGATTTTCTCAACCCCCCCCCATTTACTTACATTACAGGCCCGTTTGTTTTCTTTTTTTATTTTAATTAATCATTTTTCCTTTTAATTAATTTTATTAAAATCAGAAAAAATCACAAAATCATAAAAAAAAATTGATTTAGGTTTTTGTTTAATTAACTTAATTTTTGATAAATAATATTATGTTAATTTAATCACACTTAAGTTTTATTTTATTAATTAATTTAATTAGAATTAGGGTTTATCATTATTATTTACTACAAAATATTTTTCTAAACAAAAACACCAAAATACTTTTTTCTAACACTTAGAACTTTTTTAGGTTTTAATATCTTTCCCTTTTTTAATCTCCACACGTTTATTTATTTTTCGCACTGCTATTTTCATAATTATGTAACTGACAAAGGGATGTAATAGTTTAAAATTAGGATTTCTTTACTTTTTCCCCATTTTATGGTTTGTACTCCCCATCTCCGAAGCATTGTAATAGCATAGATTATTTCCTGCATTTTTACTTTCCGCAATTAGGTACGAAGGTATGTATATATTTAAATTCTAATTTAATAGGATTGTATGGCAAAAACTAAAAGCAAACACTAGATAACCATAAATACAAGACAAAATAGTTGAATCTCAACACACTTCACACATGCGCACCTCTAGGGTGACCCTCACTTGTTGCCTCGGATAAACAACAGTCATGTCCCTCAAATGTGGGATGCTTTAGCAAAGACACTTTGGTCAAAAGATCGTAGTCCCTCGATGAACCTTCGATGTTGCCTCGGTAAACGATCTTAGTCCCTTACAATAATTGCTAAAGCATCCTACAAGTTGCCTTCATGACTGTATGATGACTTGTGCTTGTCTCTCAAACATCCAATAATAGGACTTC